AAACCCTATCCTACTGAAATGTAAACCCTATCTTACTGAAATGTAAACCATCTGTTACTGAAATGTAAACCCTCTCTTACTGAAATGTAAACCATCTCTTACTAAAATATAAACCCTATCTTATTGAAATGTAAACCCTATCTTACTGAAATGTAAACCCTATCCTACTGAAATGTAAACCCTATCTTATTGAAATGTAAACCCTCTCTTACTGAAATGTAAACCATCTCTTACTGAAATGTAAACCCTATCTTACTGAAATGTTAACCCTCTCTTACTGAAATGTAAACCCTATCCTACTGAAATGTAAACCCTATCTTACTGAAATGTAAACCATCTGTTACTGAAATGTAAACCCTATCTTACTGAAATGTAAACCCTCTCTTACTGAAATGTAAACCATCTCTTACTGAAATGTAAACCCTCTCTTACTGAAATGTAAACCCTATCTTACTGAAATGTAAACCCTCTCTTACTGAAATGTAAACCCTATCCTACTGAAATGTAAACCCTATCCTACTGAAATGTAAACCCTATCTTACTGAAATGTAATGTTACAAACACATGATGAAGTCAGCTACAAAAAAGGAAAATTAATAAGGAAGTATTGAAATGTGCAAAGACAAAATGACAACTGCTGAAAACGTGTAGGAAATGAAAGGTGAAGTCACACGAGTCTAGATGCTGAAAACGTGTATAGAGGTGGATGTAGAAATGTATAGTAAGGGAAGAGTATCAAGGTGGACGTAGAAACGTATAGTAAGAAGGAGTATAGAGGTGGATGTAGAAATGTATAGTAAGGGAGGAGTATAAAGGTGGATGTAGATATGTAAAAAACTAAACTTCACATCTATTTGATAGCATCGTTTCAGAAAACTTCAAGAGGTAAGAAGGATGTAAAGTTGTGTCAGTGTGTATAAATTTCTTTTTGCTGTACTACGTTTGTTTGTGAAGAAAACCTCATCTTAAATGTTTTAGATCCTGCAAAATTTGGGGGGGGGGAGCAACTGCCTCGCTTGCCCCATAGCAAATGATCCCCCTGGACCTGTTATTTGTTGTTACTTGTTTAATAAATGGTAGTAGTTTGTTTTTTCAACCTAACTCAAGCCACACTAATTATCAGTTACGTAACTACGTTATGGTAAAAAGATGCTGTTACTCTTTTATGGACTTGAATAACACGTTACATACATTCTTCATTAACGAGGAGGTAAGACCTTAAAATTTACTGTCTTTCGTTCACTCTAGCTGTTTGTTAGTTGGCAGATTTAAGAGACTTTTAACAAAAGTCCTTCTGATACCAATAGTAGTTGGTTTCCTATTCCAGCTTAGCCTGGGTGTCTTTCAACGCTGTTGAAAAAAAACAATTTTGATATCTCATAGGAGTTCGAGACTTACTCATTATAATATGTTTTCACTTTCTATTGTTTAAAGATAAGAATTATTTTTTGTGGAATGAGTAGTAATATATCTTTTTTTACTGCATACACAACTTCTAATGCATCGTGGGTACCCTTTCCCCCCATAAGCAAATTCTGGATTTGCCAAGCTGCTGCAGATATTTCCGTGATTGTCTGTTGAAAATTGATGTTGTATTCGAATTATTGACAAAAACGTGTACAATAACTTCTTCATTGTACCACCAGGTGAACCGGTTGTGAGTAAGAAATGAGTACATTCCTGAATTACTTACTCATTGTTGTTATCAACTGGTTGTGGTATCCTTCCCAATTCTGTATGGTTCTCTGTCGTTCTGTATTCCTCGCTGCCTGCACCGAATTTCCTAAGTCAAGCTTCTCGTCTCTGATACATTTTTCTAAGCTACACGAATCTCACCTTTCATTTCCTACACGTTTTCAGCATCTAAGTCACACGAGTCTCACCTTTCATTTCCTACACGTTTTCAGCATCTAAGTCACACGAATCTCACCTTTCATTTCCTACAAGTTTTCAGCGTCTAAGTCACACGAGTCTCACCTTTCGTTTCCTACACGTTTTCAGTATCTAAGTCACACGAGTTTCACCTTTCGTTTCCTACACGTTTTCAGTATCTAAGTCACACGAGTTTCACCTTTCATTTCCTAAATGTATAGTAAGGGAAGAGTTAGAGGTGGATGTAGTGTGTAGGTTGTACTTTGGTAGAAAGAATACATGTGTAGGTTGTAATTTGATAGAAAGAATACATGTGTAGGGTGTAATTTGATAGAAAGAATACATGTGTAGGTTGTAATTTGGTAGAAAGAATACATGTGTAGGTTGTAATTTGGTAGAAAGAATACATGCTTTGCAGAAGAAAAAGACAAAAAAATTAATTTCATCTTTGCTTGAGAATAAAAATTAGGATTGGGAATACAACAACAAACATAAGCTTAGTAGAGTGTTTATATAATAAGATTTAGTCATTTTGGGAGAAATAAGTTTGAAATCTCATATAAAAACTATAATGGAAATTGTATATTTTAAAAGTCAGTAACAAAAATTTTTGTAAAATGGTTTGCCATATGATAAAAATATTCACAAGTTACAAGCAAAAAAATGTCGGCAATTATGTGTATTTACAAATTTGTTTCGTAGATGAGTGACGGAGCACAGATAAAGAAGATCAGGATATTTTTAACTATGCAGACTCCAGAGGAACAGGCCTACCCACTGGAAGTGAAAACTATGATTTCAGCTAAAGTACAAGATCTGATTGGTCTGATTTGTTGGCAATATACAAATGAAGAAAAAGAGCCCAAATTAAAGTAAAATCTTGCTCATAATTATGTCTATATTGTTTTTGTTTTCTTAAGAATAATTTATTAAGTTGTAGCAATAATGAAGAAATGAAAACATGTGCAAATTCAACAGGTTAATGTTGTAAATAAACAACCTGGATTGTAAGTCATACCTTTTATGGGGGAAATACACACATCAGCTGAAACTTGCTCAGTTTGTTTTCTAGGTTATACTTACAATAAGAATGACTACATATTCATGTTGTAAGGTCATTGGGGAATATCACGTAAATTTCAAATCTACATCAGTTAAACTTTCTACTGAAATACTAAATGAATGCCTTTCATTTTTAAGTTTAAACTCGCGCTGTGTACAAAATACGTGACTGAAAATTTCTGAATGTCCTTTACACATTGTGGAACGTGTGTCACTTATCCATAATTCTCAACTTTCCTACCCTACACACGACTTATTGCCCAAATATCGGGAGATCTTATGTAATCTCTGTTTTCCTGACATAATTTTGATTTTCTTATGATGTTCTTTCTGATGCAACTGTTAGGGCTAATTGTTTCTCAAGCCTAATCGCATTCAGAGTTTGCAGAGTTGATTGGATTTGTCTGCTATAGAGCTAACCCTAATCCTGATGATACTTCTGCCGATACTTCAGAGTTTGCAGAGTTGATTGGATTTGTCTGCTATAGAGCTAACCCTAATCCTGATGATACTTCTGCCGGTCTCATTTCTTTCTCCCTCACGTTTGTCATATATTTTCAGTATTGAACCTTCTCCCTCACGTTTGTCACATGTTTTCCGTATTGAACCTTCTCCCTCACGTTTGTCATATGTTTTCCGTATTGAACCTTCTCCCTCACGTTTGTCATATGTTTTCCGTATTGAACCTTCTCCCTCTCGTTTGTCATATATTTTCAGTATTGAACCTAATTCCGCTACACCTGAGGGTAGTATTGTATGTAAATTTTACTAGATATCTGTATGTAAATAATTATGTGTGGTATAAAATAAATTGGAAAGTTATGTATTTATAATCACGTTGTGTCATAAAATAGAATTAACAACTTTACTTGGTAACTTAGTAAAGTGTAAACAGTTTCCTCTATGTTTAATGCTCATCTCTAAGAACTAACTCCCAAAGTTTGTTATTATAACAAGGATTAAAACGTACGATGAAGTTTGTTATTATAACAAGGGTTAAAACATGTACGATGATGTACGTTTGTTATTATAACAAGGATTAAAACATGTACGATGATGTATGTTTGTTATTATAAGGATGGTTAAAACATGTACAATGATGTACATTTGTTATTATAACAAGGATTAAAACGTACGATGAAGTTTGTTATTATAACAAGGGTTGAAACATGTACGATGATGTACGTTTGTTATTATAACAAGGATTAAAACGTATGATGATGTACGTTTGTTATTATAACAAGGATTAAAACATTTATGATGAAGTTTGTTATTATAAGGATGGTTAAAACATGTACGATGATGTACGTTTGTTATTATAACAAGGATTAAAACATGTACGATGATGTACGTTTGTTATTATAACAAGGATTAAAACATGTACGATGATGTACGTTTGTTATTATAACAAGGATTAAAACATGTACGATGAAGTTTGTTATTATAACAAGGGTTAAAAACGTACGATGATGAAACACTATCAGGTTGCCGATCTGTGAAAAGCCCTAGGGTTTTTCTTAGATGATACATGCTTTCACCACTACAACGTTAACAAATAAGGACTGTTGTTTTTATTTCTAGACCAAATGTTGGCTACTACTGTCTGAAAATAGCAGAAGAAAATGGAGAAGTAGATGAGGACTTTCCCAGTCTGAATCCGAACGAACCTGTTTCAAAGTTTGACTTCCCAGTGTTAGCACTGGTAGAACAGGAGAAAGAGGATGATGCAGAGCCAGTAATTACAGTGTAAGTTCATTCAAATCTTGAGAATCGTTTACTTGGTTGAGGATTTAATGTGATCACCTTAGTGCTCGTACTAGCCAGACAGCCAGCTACCTCAAGGATACTAAAGGAAAAGTATAGAGGTGGATGTAGAAATGTACAGTAAGGGAAGAGTATAGAGGTGGACGTAGAAATGTATAGTAAGGGAAGAGTACATGTATTCTTTCTACAAATTACAACCTACACATGTATTCTTTCTACCAAATTAC